CCAACAAGTTCGGCCTGTACACTGTCAATGCCCATTTTGCCATAGCATGATCATGTCTAAAGTCAGCCGAGAAACTGGCACAACAASGTATCTATATTGCTTGATGTTGTCCTTGGTCTGGTGAGTATRTGGTGTAAATCAGTCTAGTACCTAGGCATTCTCAATGCAACAGAAGGAAAGTCCCAGGGGATTCACCCAGTGTGAGGTTACAGACRCAGTTAACAAACAAGAAAAGACTGGCTACTAGGATGTGGGCGGCACAACAATATAATCTCTAGACAAGATGTTGTTAGAGATTTTTAGTTGTTTAACAGTCTTCGTGTCGAAGCGACCATTTTAGTTTTGATAATTTGAAAATTGTATYCAAGTGGAAACATGAAAATAATACTTTGCTTTATTTGCCAAATCAATATGATAGGAATATGAGTCAATATGAGTCCTTTGTGAATCCAAAGCTCCTCTTATAAACCACCATTTCAATTGTTTCAGATAAACATCTTTAAAAATGTATAGTACTCGGCTTGTAACAAATTTTTCAAGACCCCATATAGAATTTGAACATTTTTTCTAGAATCTTAATAGGGGMCCCCCTTCTTGGAGAAGTGGAAAGTCCTAGATCTATACCACTGCAGATGAATGCATAGCCTGTGTAGCCAGGCGTTCCTAGCCGCTCTGAACGTCTGGCTACGCAGCTAATGACAGTCTTTCAATTACAAAATTGTGTTCTTAATGTTTTAGTTGTTGCTGTTGTCCTTTCTATATGAATTGTGCAAAGGATGCATCACACTCCTGCCCTAAGTGCAAAAAACATCTYGGAACATTTCATCAACCTGCTTTCGAGTCTGGTGGGGTCTCAGGTTCACAAAACAATTATGGCCATACATCTGGTGGGACTGGTAGAAGACGAAGACACCGTGGAGGTGGTGGTTTTGGTGGTGGTGGTGATGGTGGTGATGGTGGTGGTGGTGGTGGTGGTGGCGGCGGTGATGGTGGTGGTGGTGGTTGTTAGGAAGCAATGATCAATGTAGCATAATTGTCAACAATAGTGACAATAGTCTTTTTAGAAGTTTAAATTCAAGTAGCCATTGAAAACCTTACATTAGTAAGACAAAAATCTGTTCTCAGTTTATTTGACTAACAAGTAGTCAATTACAATTGATTTCTGCACTTCTAGTAATTTACAGCTGCAATATGCAGAAATTATGATCTTTTTGCTCATATTTCAAGTATATCTAAAGTTATATCACGGTTACCTGYGCCATGTTGAAARGTAGCCGTGCCTTTGCATCGAAGCGAGACGACCGTTGAGCGTGCAATGATAGAAACCTTCTTTCACACCTACAGACAATTATTCACAGGTATCTATCATTGCACGCTCAACAGTTGTCTCGCTTCGATGTAAAGACACGGCTACCTTTCAACAATGGCACAGGGAACCGTGAAGGAGACTATTGATCATTGATCATTCTTAGATATATACAGTCTATCGTTCTGTGTGTTTTTATGAGAAGAGATTCTTGATGATCGTTCTTGCTGGAATTGTTGGACCAACAATTATGGCTGTGCAGGCCCGCCTGCATCCTGTTATATACAAGTTGATTATAAAGCACATGAGGACAATACCTAAGTTAGTGATTAATACTCTAAAATAAAATATAAAAGCAGAGGAGATTTCGTATGACTGTGAAAGAACACAGTACGTTTTTTCCATGAGCGTATAGATGCTTACGACGTAAGCCGGAAGAAAACAATAGAAAACAAAGGAATGGAAACGAGGCCTAAGGGCCCTGGAGGAGTTTAGATAGCAAATATCTAGGGATTCCATTCACCTGAATTTAAGATCGCTTTTCTGTAGGAAAACGACATTTTCTTGCTTCTTGTTTAATTCAATAAGGATATTTTTCCGTAATCGTGACCGTAATCGTACTGTAACCAAATTCTAGTGCCCCATTGGTTCACCAAAATTTTGAAGGTCAGGTGCGGTAACGGTGCCCCACTCATACGAAATCCGCTCTATTCCTTGGGTTCTTCAGTGACGTGGTCCGTACTCCGTTGTTAGAGCGGATTTCGTATGACTGTGCAAAAAAACACGGTACGATACGCATTGGAAAACCTTTTTTGCCGTGCCTTGTCCGTGTTGTGATCCGTGCTTTTGCACTCATACGAAATCATATCCATGCGTGATCTTCGTACAGTCACGAAATCTTCTCTAGATCTAATTTTACATAATTTTGAACATTCTGATTTGACATATCAACCCCTAAGAGTATATAAAAAAGATGAATGTATGCATCTGCAAAGTAAATCACGATAAAATGCTGTTTTTAATTTGTATTTTGTTTTTTTTTTCTTGGGGTCCCTGTGTTGCCCGTTCCAGTCTTTCAACACCGATTGTGATTTGACGATGAATCATGAATCTTTGTGGATGTGGCAGATTATCAGTGAATATCTCACGATTGCTAACCAGTTCTAGGCGTCTTAGGCCTATTTTTGTAACTCAGTCTTTAAGTATAATATGCCGACGATCGTATCGAAGAGGAGAGGGGTCAGTCATTAGCAGTCTTTCAGATGCCGAAGCTTATCTGGCGTTACTCAGTCGACGAGAGACTAAATTTCTAAGTGAAGCGATCAAAAAACAGGATAAAGAAAGTCTAGGTGAGTTTTCTGATGAAGTGTAGTCAAGTGGTTCTATCGTGCTTAATAATATGTAATTATATCGTGATCACGTCAGAACCCATGTGTTTTCGAAAAAAAAAACCCTGATGAATGTCAACAAACAGGCTTTCCTTTAACATTTTCAAGTCTTACAAATTCTTGTACTTACTTTTCTAAGTAATAAGAAATCTAGTGAGCTTGTGGACATGAATGTAGTAAGGCGTCATTAAGACTCCAAAAAGAAAAAAACAAAAAAAATTGGTATAAAGTGACATAGCACACAGAAAAATGGATATTCACATCCAAATTTGCCTAGTCTCCTCGCAGCCGTTCTTAGTGGCGGGCTCCCTGTCCCCCGCGGGGGACAGGGAGCCCGCCACTAAGAACGGCTGCGAGGAGACTAAGATTTGCCTGATATTGCATATTTTTTTCTGAAATTGTTAAAAAGATCATACAGATTTATTGGCTACAATGTCTGTGTGCATATATATATCACATGGTTGCTGAACAATCTTAGCATGCATAATTTACCAATATTGTACACAATGTTTCACAGATAATAGGGATGAAGTTATAGAAATACCAACAGTTGGGCAATTACGCCTAGGTAAGAAAAAAAGATTGGACTAGCTGTGATCACTTCTTCATCCTTGATAACTCTAGCTCGACTACTATATCATGTGAACAGAGTACTTAAGGGGTCACAGGCAAATGATAAGATTGACGAACTGCTGAGACCTATATTTGAGCCAGAGATGTACAGGATGTATAAATATTAAAAAAAAACGACCCTGAGAAAAAAGGTCCAAGACTATAAAAATCAAAATAAAAGAATTCAAGACCAACCACGATATGGGCAGAGATCTATTTCCAGTTACAAGGGGACAAAAATATAAATATGGAATTATTGGTATTAAGTGATTTATAACTACCGTATTCAAATAATTATTTCCTTTTTAGCTGCATTTCACAGTGCAATTCCATTCATTGGGTTTGGATTTCTAGACAATGCAATTATGATTGCTGCAGTAAGTGGAAAAACCTTCTTTATGCACTTCTATTTTGACTAGTCSAGACGAATTTCAAAACATGCAATTAGCGCTAGGCTTCTGTCAATCAAAATTCTCTGTTGTTAATTTGCATTTGTGAAGTTTTATCTGTATTCTATTATCTGATTGCATCGCATTGCAAATAGTGGTAACCTAAAGCCTAATATTTATAATGTAATACTGCATATACAATAATTCATACTGTTGTGTGTGGCTGCTGCTCTGATKGGTGTGAATTTCTTTGATTACAATAGGGAGAATACATTGATTTAACTATTGGTGCTACACTCGGGATATCGACAATGGCAGGTTAGTAAGGGATGTYACTATGTAAAGATATGTAAAACTATAGGTTTGTCTAGTATTTTGTTGTTGCTGCTGCTGTTGATCATAGCGTACACAATTTAAGTAGAATTCAGGYCACAAGTCATTTAATATTACAACATTTCAACAACGCAGTGTTCAGTGCRTACTGTGACCTTAGATCATCAACCAACTCTTATGAGAGCATCGATGCACAATTATCAGTAGGGCTTTTGCATGAAACGGTCACATGATACAAAATCTGCCATACTGGATGGCAAAAGAATGTAAACAGCCTCAAAAACAAAAGGAACGCAGCCCGTCAAGCTTGACTTTTCTTTGTTTTGCACATCCCAGTGTGTATTTTGCCATCCATATGGCGGATATTGTRCCATGTGACGGGCCTATTATTTCTCAACCTTGACTGTACGATTTCTAGTAACCTTTTCTGCAATCCCAAAAATTGCCCAGTGTACCAAGGTCATAATTTTCTCCATGTCGCTTTTCAAATGAACGAACAAAAGATGCTGAGAAAAGTTAAAGAACAACTGTCATCTCTTGATCATTTTATTTTTAGCTGCTGCACTTGGTAACATTGTATCAGATGTGTCAGGAATCGGGTGAGTCTGARGTTTTCTAGATTATTTTCCTTTACTCTACTGTTATGGTTAACAAAACATATTAATATAATTGTTGTTTTTAAAACAGACTTGCTCATTATGTTGAGCTTGCAGCTAATAAACTAGGTTTTGAGGGTCCAGGACTCAGCTCAAAACAGATGGAGCTACCCAGGACAAGATTTGTAAATAATGTTGTAAGTAATGATATWTACACTCAGTGAACTTAAGGAGATTATCAAAGAGCAGAAGTTGGGGGGAGCAAGGGTGGTCAAGCGGTTAAAACACCGGTCTATCACTGCTGTGGTCCTGGCTCGATTCCCGGTCTGGGACTTTATGTGATTTGAGTTTGTAAGCTGGTTCTCCCCCTTGCTCCGAGGGTTTTTCTCCAGGTCTGCTGGTTTTCCTCCCTCCATCAAAAACTAGCTGTGAGGATGTGTCGTGTAGTAAAATAATGAATACGTGTTGAGGTAGCGAGTATGAGTGAATATATAGAGGGGCCACAAGTTTACTAGTCTAGAGACTATTACGTGCTACCCTCTCAAAACAAAAGAGTTATTTATTATCTATTTATTTACTGGAATTTGGAATTTAAAATGGAACTTACAGGGAATTTGCAAAAACGAATTAGTCTTAACTGTTTGTTTTTTTCCCTGAACTTGAAATAATAGCTATAAATAATTATGATACATTAATACATCATTTCAATATCATATACCATCATCAACCAGCCAAAACAAAAGCAACAATGTTTATTTAATAAAGTCAAAACCATCAGCCCACCACAATTAGGGGTGTAGAATGGTGTCTCAGAAATCACGAGGATCGCTAAAACATTTTCAGATCTCGCAAGCTCAGTGCTTACTTTAAAATCCTTTTTTTTCTGGTAAGGTCGCAATTGCTGAAATATCAGACTCGTTCAGCTTTAAAACGAAGGGCTCGCAGGCTTGGCGAGACTCGTATTTTACCATTTGATACCCCTACAATTTGAAGCTTTAATTTTGCCAAATGACTGGGTTAGCCACATAACAATACAAACAATCATGGTAACAATGCTAAATACTGGTACATTTTTTTTCCAGGCTAGAGCTTTTGGTATTGTTATTGGATGTATAATTGGGATGTTCCCACTTCTGTTTATAAAAGACCGAGATGACAAAGAATCAACAAGCAGATGATGCATAGTATAATATCCAGAGTTTATTTATACTTTTAAAATTATTATTGAATGTTTTAAAAAAACTTTCATATTTTTTACAATCTCTTTGGAAATCCAAAAGATTTATTGATGCTGTATTTAGCATCTTATGAAATTGATCAACCTCAATTTTGGGTGTTTTTGCATCTTTTCAATCTAATAATTTATGCTGTGACTGACTCTGCRAGAAGGGTCRAAAGKTGCTGTTATAGGGTTTTAATCTTTTCAAATATATTTTATTTTTAAAACAATTGTTTGTCTCATAATTGGAACACAATGTAAAGTCTGTGGAAGCATGATTTAGATGATTAAACATCCTAAACTTTTTTTACGACAGGTGTATAGGCTGTGACATCCGTTTCTCAGAGAATGTCTGTGATTTGCCATTTCTAATCGTGTTCTGAGGTCACATAAGGTTCTCAAAAAGCTGAGGACTTGTAAGTTTTGATTGGGCGTTGACTTTTAAGGCTTTTGATTGGCCAAAATCAATAGATGGCGCAAAAAGTTGGTCGCACTCATGAAATATAAGCCTTTCATGTAAACCACTGGAACATGTAGAGCGCCCCAAATTGAATGTGTTATATTTGCTCTCAAATTCTCTGTAGATCTAAAAGTTTCGACTTTAATCTTATATTCGGTCATAGAGCCCGGAAAWACGCCACTTAACTTCTGAGTCAAGTAACTCTGAAGTTACAGCCTCAAAAGTCGTAGTTTTACAAGCAAATGAAGACGAAACGAGTATGGATGTACACACTCAGGCTAACAGGTGTATGAAGTCTGTATAAACTTCAAGAGGTGTYATAAAATACACCRTTAATTTYAGAAATAAACTAGTAATTATAATAKTATCATGTATAAATTAATTGAACTGCGATTGGCTGATTTCTRTATTTTATACTGATTTTTAGATCCATGACACGTGACAGACACGTTTGAAACTTTTAATTACTGTGCTATGAATTAAAGAATGAGATACAAAAAGGATTTGTGTAATACTTGAGCTCCAATCCTTATAGAGCAGATTTCGTGAGTGGGACACCGTTACCACACAGTTACTGGACCTGGCCTGCACAATTTTGGTGAACCAATGGGGCACTAGAATTTGGTTACAGTACGATTACGGTCGCAGTACAGTACCATCYGTTTCCCACTCATACGAAATCCGCTCTATTATGACTAACTGGTGAGGATAAATCATCAAACCATAAAAGGGATATTTTTGACTTACATAACTTTATAAATTTCAACATCCACTATTCTTTAAAGAGAAATCCCCCCTGATCCCCCTGAGCCTGATCCTGCTATGCCAAACTTAATTGATTCACATGTCAAGCTGTTGATGTGGCAAACAACAATTATTTGGTTCAGCATAACTGAGACAATGCAAGTTCCAGGCCAACTGAGGAGGGGATGCACCCTGCAAAATTAGTCATAAAATGGACACAAAAAAGGGAAAATATGAATAGATAGTCATCCCAGGGAGAGGTGCACACCCCATAGCTGGATCTGTCTCTACACAGTATGAGCTGGGCCTTAAATGCCATGCTTGCCAACATGATTAGACAACATAATATTTCAAGAAGATATTTGTTTCAAAATCACATGTTGGCAAACAAGGCACTGAAATATTTGTGGGGTGTACTTCAACAATATTCATAATACAATTAGTGAGTCTTTATTTTAAACCTTTTCTAWGCCAAATACATTTTGAAAGATCATTCGCTTGTTATAATCTATCCAATATTTSCTTCTCAAATAAATTACTTTTACTATATTACTAGCATGTTGCTCTTGGTATCCATTTTTAATCATGGAGTAGAACCACATCGATAATGTAGAAAAAGAAACAAAGGGCAAAGTGCTACTATACCTAATGTGWGTAGACTCTTGAGATTCAAAGGAGCAACAATAACCAATTAGATTAAACTTGGTATATTTGTCAATGAATCACCAGCATTAGCCTGGACATTACTCAAATCTTTTAATTGAAAGACATATCATAGTATCTATYATTTACCAGTTATTAGGAGTGCATCTTACCAGCACTCCACACTGTCATTATTAAGCAAAACTTTCTCATTTACAATAATTTATCCATCAAACCACAGACATAGGAAATGTCCAGAATCAATAACTATTACATTGTAACTAACAATTAAAGAATTGTTTTCCATAAAATCCCTTTTTTCTGAAAAATTGTAATTTTATCTTGGATAGACATACACTGGCACCTGCACAGWTCCAGTGAGCAGCTCTTTTAGTTAGTGACGACCTTCTACTGCTTGAGCTAAATGAAAAGCTCATTTTTCCAACATAGCAGAAAGTGCATTTARAGGTCRCTATGTRTACATCATTTCTGCCATTGCTGACATAGGTTTAGGAATGTGCAACAGTTGTTCAAAGTAAGCTGCTAATTCTTCTGGAGTYGTGTCATCAAAGTTCACATCCCCATGTGGTATTTTAGAGCTTTGGGCCTGCCTAAACTGACCACTGCAGCTTTTTGAAAAGTTTGTAGGGCTTTTGGTTGTTGGACTTGCCAGTTTATGATTGATGGTTTGTGTTTTTGCAGTGTCATTATTAGAAAGTTTGCTATGCTGCTCTAGTTGTAMGTCCTGTGTCTCAGTTTTCAAATATTTAAGTTCTTTCTTTGGTGAACAACTTTTATAGACAAATGTAGCATCTTTAATGATTTTCTTTTTGACTTTAATTTCTTTCCTGGATATACAGCTTCCTTTTCTTYGAATAGCTGTAAATCTGCACTTTGTCTTGAACTTTCTTCTGTTGTAAGCACAAAAATTAAAATCAGTATCATAAGTGGTTATTTCCAATTCAAAAACCCATATAGAGTGCAAACAATTTAATTATCTATGAAACCTTAGTAGTACTGCATTTTGTACTATTTCAGCTAATTCTTTTGYTTTCTTTCGATTGTGCACAATAATAAGTGTTTGATTGTAGTGCTGCAAATGAAAGCCTGTAAAAGGTTAATAATTAAATAGTGCTAAATTCTAATGATGTGTGTGAATTCCTTTGCTAAATTCTAGTGCCTTATCCATGCTATTTACCACTACTGAGGGAGAAGGGAAAAAGACCTGATCAGCATTATTAAAGACATTATGTCTGCCAACTTAGATAATAATATTGTCTGGTTTGAAGCATCTTAAAGCTTAAAAAAATATCTCTTCACACAAGGAGATTTTGGCATCAAATGCCATATTGAGGATATATATTTTGATTTTATTGGCAATGATATATACCTAATTGAARTTTTTTCAATTAGGTGTATAATGCTCTGTAGCTGTTGTGGTCAGCAGTTGTCAGCCATTATTTTTTGCCCAGCACCTTGAAGCATTTGGAAAGATCTTGAATGTGTAGTATGCATTTGTAACAATTATTTTACTCAATTGTAACCATTTTAACAGACCTAATTAATTATTACACTGTAATTTGTACACTTAAGAAACACTTCAAATTCTTCATTTTTGATTTGGATATTTACTTGCTTAGTTTTAGCATTTTTAAACAGAAACTTACATTCCTGGAGGTTGTAAATAAATACAAGACAGACTTAAAATATCGTTTCGTTTGATATCGTGACTAAGCAAATATCGACACAGCGGATTCACAAGCTTATAAAAACCCACCAAGCGACTGAATAACTGTGATTAACAAAATGACCCTTGATAATAAACATTGGGCAGTAGAATAATGTACAGACAAATTTGAAAGACATACAATATGTGATTGAATGATCGACAAATGATTTGAAGAGAGCGTGTCCGCCGTCTCTCCGACTCTCATCTACATCCCACACATCCCACACGTGTTCGGCAATATCGATCGTTAAAATGTTATAAATTCARGACTTAAAAAAATACTAAGCTAATAAGCTAATGCACAATAGTTTTGAATGACAAATTATCCATTCAATAGAGTTTGCCTGTGAAGTAACGTTTTGTGGCGATTGTTCAAATGTGGTGGTTTCATTTCTTTGAAAAAAAATAAATTAACATGAGTATATTTACTACTTACACGTCGCTGTCAACTCTAAGTTTCTTAAAAATAGTTTGTAAATCTTTTTCAGAGCTTCTTTGGCTTTCATTGAGATTTTCTAAGCCTTTTTGTTGCTGCTCTTCTTCACTTTCGCTTTCACAAGAATCCGCCATGTTTGTTATGTTGTTAGGCCGCGCGGCCAAATATCACGTGATACATTAAATATGCTGACGCAAGATAAAGTTGTTTTTACAAAATTTTCGATGATTTGAAGTTCTTTTTGCTCTGTACGGATAGTTAAACTCCGTTTTTTTTTTAAATTTTGGTGTCAAATGTATTCTTCAATCATAGACAGTGCGATTTTGCTTTTTACTAGATCCCAAATATTGAGATAAACAGGGAACCCAATCTTACATTCTAGCAATGCATGCTGGGAAAGAAATCATAGATCTTCCACCGGTCGCCATTGTCGAGGGAAAAAGTTGAGTTTTGTTGGAGTTTTGTGCAATAAGACTTTGTATTCATGTCATACTTAATCACCCATTTGAAAAATGGMTGGCAAGTCGACCAAGCCATCACATCCGAGGACGATCGTGTTGTGGTAATACGTTTCGGCCACGATTGGGATCCCACATGTATGAAAATGGACGAAGTTCTGTATTCTGTAGCTGATCGATGCAAAAACTATGCTACAATCTATGTTGTGGATATAACGGAAGTTCCTGACTTCAATAAGATGTACGAATTGTATGATCCATGTACCGTGATGTTCTTTTATCGAAACAAGCACATCATGATMGATTTGGGCACTGGTAACAACAACAAAATCAACTGGCCTTTGGATGATAAACAAGAAATGATTGACATCATTGAGACAGTRTACCGTGGCGCCAGAAAGGGACGTGGTCTTGTCGTTTCGCCCAAGGATTATTCAACAAAATATAGATACTAACAATAATTGAGCACACAAATTAAGTKTATTTTCGTCACGCTTTACTTATAAATACCGCAACTTCAAAGTTAACCAAAGTACAGATCTTCAGATATAGCTTACTACTTTAGTTAAAAGTATAATAAATTGTTTAACATTTTATGATAAAAAATTGCATTCGGTATAGATGGATCAACTATGTTGATAAGGCAAGTACAATGTTACATTTATTATAAATGGAAAGAATTTGAACATTTGTTTTACAGTTTGAACTGAACATGGTGAGGCTAGGTATGTGTTGATAAGAGAATGGCGGCARTAGGCCTTTTGCAGCTAGGGRTCACGYGACCACACCTACCTTAAATCAATCGGCTATCACAAAATGATGTTCAGAAATGGAAAGAAGGGATCAAAATAAGTAAGAAGWCAAAGTTCAAGTCTCAACTCTAAATACTTCAAAAATGATAKCAAATATAAAATCATTTTTAAACATATGCAAAAACAGAACTGGAGAGCAAGGCTTGCTCTCCAGCTCTATTTTCCCATACGTTTCTTTAGAAAAATCAATATTTTACATTTGCTGTCATTTTTTAAGTATTTAGAGTTGAGACTTGAGACTTTGCCATTTTACCTAAATAAACCTGCTCTGTCCATTTCTGAACATCTTTTTTTGATAACTGATTGATTTAAGGTAGGTGTGGTCACGTGACCCCCAGCTGCAAAAGGCCTATTGATTCTAAACATGGTAGCAGCAACCTCCACCCTCATGTTCCATTAAAACTGTTAAAACAAGTAGCAGTCAAAATGTTAGTCCAGAACTGGACCCTCTTTTCTCAATTACTATAGATAATGTTAGATGTAAAAGTTAAAAATCCAAAGCGCGCGCTAAAGAAAATTTTATCGTGACCGTTGAGAACGCTGATTCAAAATAATAGTTTTTCAACTCCGCGCGTGAGGATAAAAGAGGGTCCAGTTCTGGACTATCAAAATGTATGCACCAAACAACTACTTTAATTCTCAGGTCCTTTTTCTTTTCTATTGTGAAAATGAAGGATGTTGTAGCAAAGTGAGTCCCAGATAATGTGGTTGAATAATCAGTTATCTTTTTGCTTTAATTTCCCTATAGAGAAACTCTATTTTCTAAGCCAGTTGTACCTAAGCTTACTAACTACTCTCGCGATAACAGCATGAAATGTGTTCTTGTTCCTTGTGTCTTATTGTTAGGGTATGCAGTGTGTGCAGAATTACATCATAGCTATGTGTGACCTATTATATCCAAAACTACCAACCAAGAAAGCACATTGCAATTACTAGTTGTTTTTTTTGCATGCGGTAAAAAGACTGTTACCAGACTTTCTGTGCAGACTGTGTTCTTGTTCATAAAACTACACTGTTGTTCACCTGAACACCTTTAGTACTAACCCCTAATTTTACAATCATACAATCTTTATATATAGTGATTTCACAGTATTTTCTGCCCTTTTTATTGTTTTAGTAAAGTACACTCATACAGTTAGAATATACAAAAAAAGGAACGTTCAAATCTGAGCTGTTGTCAAGACCCAGGGGTGGGGGGATACTTGATCCAGCTTTGAACGGGGACGCACTGGCACCGGCTAAAACCTGGATGTTGCTCCTCAAGACAAAGCAAAATCGTGAAATTCCATACCCTATTCAAGACATGCAGGACAAAAACCATCCTATTTGCAGAATGTCCCCGTATTGTAACTGTGGGGAGCGTGTCAAAAACATCATACGCGCACTTTAATTAAACAGTTTTAGTAAGGAGATAGCTTTGAATATTGCCTTCAATTACACTAAAAATTAACGTGACATCGAGTCCGAATTGTGCAATTGTGACTACTACGAAATCGCGTTGTATAGACAATATGAAAAAAGGGCGCGGCTAGATTGTAACGCCTTAGTTGATAGGTTGTTTGATATATCCTTACTGCCCATTGAAAGAACATATTACGATGAATAAGATCTAAAAGTTTCAATGCTCTAACATTTAAGGGCCAAAAATTACAGGTGTTTGAAATTGCAAAGTTTTGAGTGAAAATCAGTAATGAGGCCTTACCAGTCTCGTTTCACGTTTTTAGTAAAATTCAAATGCTCGTAACTCTGATATTCTGATATTCAACATTTGAAACTAAAACTCCTCCTATGTACTAGTTTAGATATACGTTTTGTTATGGTGAAAACAGATATTTTTTATACATGGACCGTACAAGGTGCTCATTCCCAGTCTCTGCTCGTTTTTCATGGGGGTCAATTTGTGAGTTTTTATGTTTTTTTATTTTTACTGAAAATCATTGTAGCTCTGACGTCATCGCTTTTTTCTACGCACTCAACTAAAGCGGTCTCAAAAATGCAGGAAAATGTGAAATTTATTCAGTACAACTTTCGGGCTAAACCGCGTTTTGAATTGCTTTAACAGATTTTAAAAAAAAACTCCCGCGAGGGACTCCCGTGCGTGTGTTGACCCCATCTGTAGAATCCAAGACTTCCACATTGTAGGAAACTTAAATTTATTCATGCATTGTATCAGTATATTATGTATGCTTATATTTTCAAGTTTTATGCAAGCCAAATTATTATAGCAATTGCGCATTTTCATTACTTCTTCGCGAACCTGTCCTACGTGGCGTATTAGTTCCTCTTCARTGCTCCGTATAGAATATGTTCAAGTATGTCCGGCGGGAAATTATTTTGAATGGAACTCGTGAAAACTGAATTAAGAAATTCAATGCATTGAGCCCCTTGCTCGACCTTTTATGACTCCAGCAGTTGTCAATGGCCCCAGGGAAGTCAGTTCCATTCTCAGCAATTTCCGTCGCACAGTGCCGCTATACACGGCTTGAGATTCTTTTATTGGACTCGCTGTTGTTTATTATTTCAACTGGCCAAACTTAGTTAGTTAGTTGGGTTCCAAAGCCCCAAAAGCATTGCTATTTTCCGCTTTCAATACTTATAGAAATTTTACTAATACGAATGTGCCGAACAGTATTTACTTCCGCCACTGTACTAYTCAGGGAAGTAGAATTTCCAGATAAAATGTAAGGATATCAACGAATCAAATAACCATTTCGTAAGATATGAAAGCCCCCTGAAGTCCCTTAAAGGAAATTTATTTGGTTGCAGTAGAAACTGTCTAACTAAAACCACTAATAAAACCCCTATTCTATCATCTCAGATGTAGTTCATGACGGGAAACTTGACCTCTTGTGCACACAGAGCCGTTAACATCAGTGTTAATATCCTATAAATTGTATTTTATGATGAAAGAGAGTCAACTAGTGACCTGAGTTACATTTATTATTTACGTCCTCAATTTTCATTCAAGGTCTAGGATACTTTGTCATAGGTAACAAACTGTGAACAACGAACTCGACTGTGGCAAAATAGGAAAAGAGACTAGCCAATTATGAGTATGTAGCGTTTTATAAACTTTTTGATATATATTATATATAATAACGTGTGCTCTGATTGGCTGACGACCGTKTTTATATCAGAGGACAGACACGGCTTAGCGGCAAAATTTGTCAGAAAAATTTTATAAAAGAACTATAAAACGGCCGTGGTAAAAAGATATATCATTACAAAAAACTATAAGTATCTGCTTTCATGAAATATTCCAAAAATAACCCAACAAAGACCCCGACGCCTCACATAATGAAAATTCATTTTCAAACTATAGAGTTCCCCTCGAATTTTGGTTTTGAAAGATAAGCTCACAGAAAATGTCGGGGCGGGGATGTTTTCATAACTGTTTTTTAAGTTTATTAATACTTCAGGAACTTGAGTACCCATTTTTCTGCGAAAAAAAACAAAAACTGACGGGATGAGCAAAAACGTTTAAGATCGCTCATTTTTGTTCCTGATAATAATTTGCTTTTGACTAAAAGTACTAACATTAAATTAACGTCAAATTGTGAAAAATTGATTTGAGTGGGCGTGAAATCTAGGCACCAACGCACGCCACTCGCCACCTAGTAACTTTCGCCAAAGAGTCAGTCACGTTAGTCTGCCAGCTTTTAACTGTTTTCGACAAGTCGACGTCATATTTGCTATGGCCGTTCTTCAGTTTTGCTGACATCATTCATAATATAGCTCTCCAGTACATAAGACTCRTTATTTGGATGGGGTGTCGTATTGTATTGAGTGTGTCCTCTCTACTCTTTAAATTTGTTTTTCTCCTTTAAAGAGATGCCCGCCCCTACCTCAGCCCTTATTAATTGCCTTGTACGACTAACAAGAGACATTGAGTGGAAGGGTGGCTTTCACTCTTTAACTCAGTAATGTTAATTCGATCCTCTTCTAGTAATTCTCTTCATAAGTTTAGATTTTCTCAGACATGTCTTATCGCTCATTGTGGGCAAAACAGCGATGTTGAAACGGTCTGGTACAGCTCGTGCATACGATCTGGAGGCCGCATTTTGAAAAAAACCGGATGTAGCTCTGTTTCGCCGTCCAAACAGTCTTCTAGTTATTAAACTTCTGGTTCTTTCGAAAAATACCCCAGACTAAATATCTAATGTATTTGCCTAAATACTTTGACAATCTTTGACACGTACAAGTTAACGATACTGAGACAGTATGCTCAAAGTGACAAAAGTTGGTTTCTGGTATACTTTAACTGACTATCTATCAATTATGAATGATATATGGTGCTTTAAGCAAACGATTTGAAAAGCCCTGTAAATTATTGGGATAAAGCCAAAGTGTACAAATCGTACATAAGGACCCTTCGCCCTTAAGTTCCAAAAAGAAATGGTTTCTTTGCGACTACTATTCGAAACTTGATTGTTTATTTAATGGTSCGACGTGTTTTTAGAGGTTTATTGAGTATTTTCATTGAAAAAAAGTATTAATATACTTCTTATGGAACAATAACAGGAATAAAAGAGGCAGATTGTGACGTAGTGATGACGCATTATATATTCACACTGACAGATGCAATTGGAAATAAACAGCTTCTGATTGGCTAACAGGAACAAAGCATGGTCTCTGATTGGCTCATCTGCATGGTAAACCCTCAATTTGAATAAATTTTACAGCGCTATGAATATTAAAATAAAAACACTTTGAATGTTTCATCCAAAATCGCTAGGCGATGCAAACATTGTGGTCGACGGAAAAAAGCAAATCTAGTGTAGAAAGTCTATGAAGAAATGGCGGCTACGTGAAGCTAGCCGACAAATGAAGACCCCAAAACAACAGTCCTACTCCCTAAACATGGATGAATGCGGAGAGGARCTTGAACATCAAGACGACTCGAAGAACGACAAAATCGAATATGGATTTCATTTAGAACTTGAAAATCAATTTTTAGGAAACCATGAAGRCGATTACGTGGATGAAAGTGAGGACGATGTTTATGCTGTTTTGGCTCAAAAAGAAAAGGATTTATTATTAGCCGCAGAATTGGGAAAAGCACTTTTGGAGAAAAACGAAGAATTGACTCAAAARTACGAGCGTCTACAAGAGGACTATGCCCAGCACTCAGAAGTAAGAAAACTTGTTTATTATGTTTAATTATTTTGAGCTGAACATTGATTTTAACTTTATGCTTGAAAGCAGTTGAACCATAGAATAATCAAGTTATTGTCTTTACGAATTTTAGGAATTAGAGCAAGAAAAACACGAATTAAGATTGAGAATAGAGAGAATTGGAAGGTCTCATGATTCTAGAGTCCATGAGCTACAAACTGACATTCAGTCCTTAAGGAACGAACTACGCTCACTYAAATCTGCTTCCCTCACGGATACTGCCTCAAAAAGGAAAACCTTTGCAGGGCTAACCGAAGAAAATGAGAAACTGAACTCGGAGTTGTGTCAGGTGAGAGAAAATAGCTTGATTCACTTGTCCCATAAGTCCCAGTCACATTTGACCCAGACTACATTTTTTCAGTACTATGTCACAGATTTAAAATTATTTTTTAGGCGAATAACCTTAAAGCCGGAACAGTAGGTTATCCTAATGTTTTAAGAGCAAAGAAATTCGATATTCGTTTTGTAATTTGAGCGCCGTTCGAGGAGTGTTAGAGACGCGTGCCAGTTGATTGCTTTCGACGTCTGTGGCATTGAAGAATCAAGCTCACTTTTCAAACCACTGAAAACTAGCTTGGCACTCTAATAAGCCACTTTGTGGATTAATAACATGAAATATACGAATACCACACTAAGCTTCATAAAAGTGGCACACAGAGGCTCTATTTTCAACAATTTTGAGCTCATTTGTAAACTATTCATGAATGCTCGAATGAATGTACGCGGAATACGCGCTTCAGTCCGCTTCACAAGCTGTAAGTAAGTAGTTTGCGGTTGTTTTTCTTTTTGTCTTCCAGTGATCTTATTTTGTGGTGTTTATACATTGAAGTAGCAATTAAAGTCGTTGATGATATTAGATTTAGAGTTAAAATCTGATTTACGTGCCATCTTGGCTAACATATTTCAGATGAATGATACTGGCTGTTCGGCCCCATCAAAGTACGATTGCAAAGCTCAATTTACTTCGAGTGGAACTCATTTAGTTTGAAAAACATATTATCTTTCTGATTAAAGATAAAGAAACGAGGAATGGTGCCATTGTTATCACTTTTTTGTGCCTTAAATTTTTCTTTTGCCA